GAAACACATTATGTTAAAAGCAAAAAGCAGTAGGCTAAAATGTTCTGTAAAACTGTTGGATAAAAACATTAAATGTAGTGACACATATGTCTATGTGTAGTGAGAATTAGCATCAATCAATCAATATATATGTATATATATTATATATATATATTTTTTTTTACACGAATGTGTTTGCTTGCTAAATTATCTCCATGTTCTCCACCGACAGGTCATAAGAGCAATTGCAATTTCGAATTGTAAATGTAAAGTAAATGTGTTAAAATGTGTTTAGACCCAATCAGGAAGTAGAGACTTGACTGCATCTTTAAACATGGATTAAATGGTATATGACTAAGTCACTCTTCTGTCTCTAGAGACAGAGCTGTCAACAAAATGTATTTAAAACCTGACAAAATCACATTCAAAGATCAGTTTAAAACTATGCTATATTTAGCAAGTCACCTTCCATCAGATGAGGATGATAGCAACATTCAGAATAAAACTTGAGAGTGAGAGCTAAAGCTCACCCACTGCTTGTGTAAATCAAACCTCTCCTAAATCAAACCTAATAATTCAGCAGTTTGTAAACCCAATCTGAGCAGAGAGAACATAGTTTAGGGTCGAGCCTGCATTAGCAAAATATTGCTATACGGTTCTCTTCTCAGTGTATACCAATGCTTGCTTCTTTCATTCTCTCTCTCTCTCTCTCTCTCTCTCTCTCTCTCTCTCTCTCTCTCTCTCTCTCTCTCTCTCTCTCTCTCTCTCTCTCTCTCTCTCTCTCTCTCTCTCTCTCTCTTTCATTCTCGCTCTCTGTCTCTCAGATGGCCCATCCAGACTCAGTTGAAGGTCTGGTTCTCATCAACATCAACCCTGAGACCAGAGGATGGATGGACTGGGCGGCCCAGAAGGTTACTGTCTCTTTAATATGTTTAAATATATATATATATTTAAAGTGTTTTCTATATTTATTGGGTAGAGAGAGAAAGAGAGAGAGAGAGAGAGAGAGAGAGAGAGGCCAGTGGGCCGGATCAAAGCCATGATGGCAGTGTTACATTGTACATGTGCTCCAGAGTCAGTGCTTAAACAGCTAAACCACCCCAGGCCACTCTCTTCAGAATGTTGGTGATTACAGCTAAACCACCCCAGGCCACTCTCTTCAAAATGTTGGTGATTACAGCTAAACCACCCCAGGCCACTCTCTTCAAAATGTTGGTGATTACAGCTAAACCACCCCAGGCCACTCTCTTCAAAATGTTGGTGATTACAGCTAAACCACCCCAGGCCACTCTCTTCAAAATGTTGGTGATTACAGCTAAACCACCCCAGGCCACTCTCTTCAAAATGTTGGTGATTACAGCTAAACCACCCCAGGCCACTCTCTTCAAAATGCTGATGATTACAGCTAAACCACCCCTGGTCCCTCTCTTCAAAATGCTGATGATTACAGCTAAACCACCCCAGGCCACTCTCTTCAAAAATGCTGATGATTACAGCTAAACCACCCCAGGCCACTCTCTTCAAAATGTTGGTGATTACAGCTAAACCACCCCAGGCCACTCTCTTCAAAATGTTGGTGATTACAGCTAAACCACCCCAGGCCACACTCTTCAAAATGCTGATGATTACAGGCAACATTAGTATTAAATATTATCATTACTCAGAAACCCAGAAGGTTATTTGTATTTATTATGGATCCCCATTAACTGATGCCAAGGCAGCAGCTATTATTCCTGGGGTCCAGCAAAATTACAATACATTTACAGCACATTAAGTGTGTGCCCTCAGGCCACTACTCTACTACCACATATCTACAACACAAAATACATGTGTATGTGTGTGTATAGTGCGTATGCTATCGTGTGTGTGTGTGTGCCTGCATGTGTCTGTGCCGGTGTTTGTGTTGCTTCACAGTCCCCGCTATTCCATAAGGTGTATTTTTATGCTGCCCTGTTCTGAGACAATTGCAATTTTACTAAGTCCCTCTTTGTGGCACCTGACCACACGACAGAACATTAGTCCAGGTGCGACAAAACTAGGGCTTGTAGGAACTGCGTTTTATTATGGACAGACTTCTCCCCATCTTAGCTACTGTTGTATCTATATGTTTTGACCATGACAGTTTACTCCAAGCAGTTTAGTCACCTCAACTTGCTCAATTTCCACATTATTCATTACAAGATTTAGTTGAGGTTTAGGGTTTAGAGAATTATTTGTCCCAAATACAATGCTTTTAGTTTTTGAAATACATTTATTTAGGACTAACTTATTCCTTGCCACACATCCTGAAACTAACTGCAGCTCTTTGTTAAGTGTTGCTGTGAATTCAGTCACTGTAGTAGCTGATGTGTGTCAATCAAATCAAATCAAATGTTATTGGTCACATACACATGTTTAGCAGATGTTATTGCTGGTATAGCGAAATGCTTGTGTTTCTAGCTCCGACAGTGCAGTAATATCTAAGTAATATCTAATAATTTCACAACATATACCCAATACACACAAATCTAAGTCCTAGTGTTGAGTCATCCGCATACATAGACACACTGGCTTTACTCAAAGCCAGTGGCATGTCGTTAGTAAAGATTGAAAGAAAGTAAGGGGCCTAGACAGCTGCCCTGGGGAATTCCTGATTCTACCTGGATTATGTTAGAGAGGCTTCCATTAAAGAACAACCCTCTGTGTTCTGTTAGACATTTCACTCTTTATCCACAATATAGCATGGGGTGTAAAGCCATAACAATTACGTTTTTTTCCAGCAGCAGACTATGATCGATAATGTCAAAAGCTGCACTGAAGTCTAACAAAACAGCCCCCACAATCTATTTATCATCAATTTCTCTCAGCCAATCATCAGTCATTTGTGGAAGTGCTGTGCTTGTTGAATGTCCTTCACTATAAGCGTGCTGAAAGTCTGTTGTCAATTTGTTGACTGTAAAATAGCATTGTATCTGGTCAAACACAAGTTTTTCCAAATGTTTACTAAGGGTTGCTAACAGGCTAATTGGTTGGCTATTTGAGCCTGTAAAGGGGGCTTTACTATTCTTAGGTAGCAGAATGACTTTTGCTTCCCTCCAGGCCTGAGGGCACACACTCTCTAGTAGGCTTAAATTGAAGATATGGCAAATAGGAGTGGCAATATCGTCTGCTATTATCCTCAGTAATTTGATTGACTATCACTCCACCAAATCCCCTAGTTTCAGACTCCTAATTATCCTTCCACCTCTGAAGACTCTAGCCACTTCCATGCCAGTCGGAACAACTTAAGTGTTTTATCTTTGAACACTCAAAAGTTGGTATCTTCACGACTGTAGGATAAGGGGAACAGGGGGTGTGTTCATGAATGTTCATATGTTCATGAATACTAGCAGCATTTCCATCCATTTGACTATTAGATTTAATAGCAATCCAATATCCTATTGATCATTACTCTTCTGTGTTCTTGTTGTGTTGACATCCTAACTAATAGAAACTCAATTACCAGCAGAAATATAGCAAATGCTCTTGATCTAGCAGTCCATAAACAGCCATTACATTCTTGGACAATGGGATATTTCGATTATGTTCTTGTAAAATTCAAAAGGCACTCACACATCTGAGCTATCTTAGTTGCAGGTGCATGGTAACAGTTGAACAAGAAACCCGCACACTGCTCTTGATAGTATCACTGCTCTGAATAGTATCACTGCTTTTGATAGTATCACTGCTTTTGATAGTATCACTGCTCTGAATTGTATCACTGCTTTTGATAGTATCACTGCTCTTGATAGTATCACTGCTTTTGATAGTATCACTGCTCTTGATAGTATCACTGATTTTGATAGTATCACTGCTCTTGATAATATCACTGCTCTTTGTTAAGCTTTACGTATCGGCCTCAAGGCCTTCCTCAGAGCTTTTGTGAGTGTTTATAATTTGCACCCTTATGTAGACATTGCTCCACCCACATCTGTTCAATGCATTGAATGGGGTTGGAGTCGAGGGAAAATAAGCAAGTGTTACCAAATGTAACAATGTGCATTTCATAAGTATTCTAATAAAGTGTGTACATAAAACGTATTAAACATGTCTGTAAAACCACAATGAGGACATCGACCCATCAAGTACATTTTCATAAATCATGTGGTACAGTGCAAGACAAAATGTACGTTATTGTAAAATGACAATTTGATAAAGTAGCATTTAGAGGAGGAAATTGGAATAGTGGAATAGTTTTCATGGTGGTTTTACTGTACTGTATGTTATTGACTAAGATGTAATACAAAAAAAAGTAGATATTTCTCTCTCTCTCTCTCTCTCTCTCTCTCTCTCTCTCTCTCTCTCTCTCTCTCTCTCTCTCTCTCTCTGTCTCTGTCTCTGTCTCTGTCTCTCTCTCTCTGTCTCTAGATCACTACCCTGACCTCCTCCCTCACAGAGCAGATCCTGAGTCATCTCTTCAGTCAGGTGTGTGTGTATATGTGTGTGTGTTTATGCGTGTGTTTGGTACGAAAGACTCTGGGTTATTATAGACTGTAACCCTATGTGTGTTATCTGACTATTGAACTATCTATCTTTATCCTATAAAACACACAATATTTGACATAGGAAGGACATTACTGTTGTATCATTTCTGTCTTGGTTTATAGGAGGAGATGTCAGCAAATGCAGACCTGGTGAAGTCACACAGAGATCGCATCTCTAAAGCCCCCAACCTCATCAACATTGAGCTCTTCTGGAGAAGCTACAACAGGTACACACAGACACACACACACACACACACACACACACAAACACGCACACACACATGCACACACACAAACCTACACTAGTGTAACCCTCCCCTTCCTCCTTTTCTCTTGTACAGCCGCAGGGATCTGATCATTGACCGTAACAGCAACTTCAAGTAAGCGTCTCACCCCTTAAATCAGCTGTGACAACAGTATGGAATATGTCTCTCACTCTCTCTCTCTCTCTCTCTCTCTCTCTCTCTCTCTCTCTCTCTCTCAGGTGTCCCGTGATGCTGGTGGTTGGGGATCAGGCACCTCATGAGGAGGCTGCTGTAAGTCTTCTACATACATCAGACCTTAATGCAGGCCTACCATGTAGCCATCGAACACAGGGAATGTGAATGTAGTGGCGTGATTAATTCACATGTTATTCCGTTCCTGTCCACCAGGTGGAGTGCAACAGTAAACTGGACCCAACAACAACCTCGTTCCTCAAGGTACTCAAGCTCTACTCATCCCTTTGGTCTGGCATAATAGCCTTGTTTATACCTGATGCTGACATGCATCGTTTGTCCTGATCTTGTCCACATTCTTATTGTGCCTACGTTTTCAGAACTATCCGGCCACTGTCTGCATTGCGTCCAGATTTCCTGGTCTCTCCCTGTATGCACATTTTTTGACAGCTATTCTTTCAATATTGATTTTAAGACACATATTGATGCCATAAGTCAGTGGTGCCCCTTGTCAATGATTTCAGAAGGCAGGATAATTATGATTTAAATAGTTTCACTGTCCATATCCGTCTACACTGGTAAGATATCCAGACACAATGCGTGCCTGACTACCTCCGGAGGTGGTCAGGAAGATCTGATCACATTCAGATCCCAATGTGTCTTTAATCGTCTACACCTGTCTGAACATTTGGGCACCATTAGAATGTGGACATGATCAGGACGAAGGACGTTTGTTAGAACCAGGTATAAACGGGGCTTTAGTTGCTGCCACGTAGCTCTGGCATCGGTATCAAACCTCTTTGTCAATGCAATACATCCTAACCCTTCTGTCATCCTCTTCTTCCTCAGATGGCCGATGCTGGTGGTCTTCCCCAACTCACCCAGGTAAAACATTTCACACAAGCTTAACTGTGTTATGATTCAGATACACAACACTATATATATATATCTAGACATTACATATACAGTGAGGGAAAAAAGTATTTGATCCCCTGCTGATTTTGTACGTTTGCCCACTGACAAAGACATGATCAGTCTATAATTTTAATGGTAGGTTTATTTGAACAGTGAGAGACAGAATAACAATAAAAATAATCCAGAAAAACGCATGTCAAAAATTTTATAAATTGATTTGCATTTTAATGAGGGAAATAAGTATTTGACCCCTCTGCCAAACATGACTTAGTACTTGGTGGCAAAACCCTTGTTGGCAATCACAGAGGTCAGACGTTTCTTGTAGTTGGCCACCAGGTTTGCACAAATCTCAGGAGGGATTTTGTCCCACTCCTCTTTGCAGATCTTCTCCAAGTCATTAAGGTTTAGAGGCTGATGCTTGACAACTCGAACCTTCAGCTCCCTCCACAGATTTTCTATGGGATTAAGGTCTGGAGACTGGCTAGGCCACTCCAGGACCTTAATGTGCTTCTTCTTGAGCCACTCCTTTGTTGCCTTGGCCGTGTGTTTTGGGTCATTGTCATGCTGGAATACCCATCCACGACCCATTTTCAATGCCCTGGCTGAGGGAAGGAGGTTCTCACCCAAGATTTGACGGTACATGGCCCCGTCCATCGTCCCTTTGATGCTGTGAAGTTGTCCTGTCCCCTTAGCAGAAAAACACCCCCAAAGCATAATGTTTCCACCTCCATGTTTGATGGTGGGGATGGTGTTTTTGGGTCATAGGCAGCATTCCTCCTCCTCCAAACACGGCGAGTTGAGTTGATGCCAAAGAGCTCGATTTTGGTCTCATCTGACCACAACACTTTCACCCAGTTCTCCTCTGAATCATTCAGATGTTCATTGGTGTCACACCCTGGCTCTGGGACTCTATATGTTGAGCCAGGGTGTGTTCATTCTATGTGTTCTATTTCTATGTTGGGGGTTCTAGGTTGTGTATTTCTTTGTTGGCCTGAGTGACTCCCAATCAGAGGCAACGAGTGTCAGCTGTTGGCTGGTTGTCTCTGATTGGGAGCCATATTTATACTGTCTGTTTTCCTTTTGTGTTTGTGGGTTCTTGTTCCGTGTTCGGTCATTGTCACCGTGGACTTCACGAGTCGTTTATTGTTTTTGTTCGTGATTTAATATAATAAAGTAACATGTTCATTCATCACGCTGCGCATTGGTCTACTTCTCTCCCTGACGATCGTGACAATTGGCAAACTTCAGACGGGCCTGTATATGTGCTTTCTTGAGCAGGGGGACCTTGCGGGCGCTGCAGGATTTCAGTCCTTCACGGCGTAGTGTGTTACCAATTGTTTTCTTGGTGACTATGGTCCCAGCTGCTTTGAGATCATTGACAAGATCCTCCCGTATAGTTCTGGGCTGATTCCTCACCGTTCTCATGATCATTGCAACTCCACGAGGTGAGATCTTGCATGGAGCCCCAGGCCGAGGGAGATTGACAGTTATTTTGTGTTTCTTCCATTTGCGAATAATCACACCAACTGTTGTCACCTTCTCACCAAGCTGCTTGGCGATGGTCTTGTAGCCCATTCCAGCCTTGTGTAGGTCTACAATCTTGTCCCTGACATCCTTGGAGAGCTCTTTGGTCTTGGCCATGGTGGAGAGTTTGGAATCTGATTGATTGATTGCTTCTGTGGACAGGTGTCTTTTATACAGGTAACAAGCTGAGATTAGGAGCACTCCCTTTAAGAGTGTGCTCCTAATCTCAGCTCGTTACCTGTATAAAAGACACCTGGGAGCCAGAAAAAATCCTGATTGAGAGGGGGTCAAATACTTATTTCCCTCATTAAAATGCAAATCAATTTATAACATTTTTGACATGCGTTTTTCTGGATTTTATTGTTGTTATTCTGTCTCTCACTGTTCAAATAAACCTATCATTAAAATTATAGACTGATCATTTCTTTGTGAGTGGGCAAACGTACAAAATCAGCAGGGGATCAAATACTTTTTTCCCTCACTGTATATTAAGTTCAATATAATGTATCTTCTTATTGTCTGCTTACAGCCCAGCAAACTGACCGAGGCGTTCAAGTACTTCATCCAGGGGATGGGCTACAGTAAGTTTGCCTCAGTTTCTATTCTGTGGCAATGAGGACCTACTGTGACCTGTTGTGCTACTGTCTCTCTTTATCAATCTAATAATCCTCCCTCTCTCTCCCCTCTCTATGTCCCACTCTCCCTCTCTCTCTCCATCTCCCTCTCTCCCACTCTCTCTCCATCTCTCTGTCTTTCCCCTCCCTCTCTCTTTCTCTCTCTCTGTTTCGTCTCTCTCTCTCTCTATTTTTCCCCCTCCCTCTCCCTCTCTCTCCCACAGTGGCATCGTCCATTATGACCCGTCTGTCTCGTTCGCGCACCGCCTCACTGTCTTCCTCCTACTCCATGGAGGGGGAGCGTGAGCGTTCTCGCACCCTGTCTCAGAGCTCTCAGGGCGGGCAGATGCCCCCCAGCCCCTCCCATACCATGGAGGTGTCCTGCTGAAGAGAGAGAGAGACAGAGAGACAGAGAGACAGAGAGACAGAGAGAGAGAGAGAGAGAGAGAGATGGAGAGAGAGAGAGATGGAGAGAGAGATGGATGGATGGAGAGCTAGATGTATGGGTGGTGGGTGAGAGTGGGATGATAGCATTTGTCACTAAACCTCTCCCGCATCTCTTAACCCTGTCATTCCCCCAGACCAGCTAACAGAGAAAGAAAGAGAGAGAGAAAGAGAGAGAGAGAGAGAAAGATATGGGAAAGTAGATGTAAAAAAAAAAGTAGAGGGACAGAGGGATAATGAAAGACAGAGTTACTAAAACACTGTCCTCCCACAATTCATCTCATTCTAAAACATTGTCCTCCCACAATTCATCTCATTCTAAAACACTGTCCTCTCACAATGAATCTCAACCTCATCTATTCATCTCTTCAGAGAGAGAGAGAGAGACAGAGAGAGATCTTCACCCAGACAGCGAAGGATAGAGGGAATGGATAAATGAAAATAGGGAACGGAAGAAAGGTAGAATTTAGGAATGAGGGAATATAGACAAAAAGGGTGGCAAGGAAAGAGCATTTTAGGGGCGTCGGCCAGTCCTCTCTCCCTCCCTCTATCGGAAAGTATGTCAGCCAATAGAACCCTTTAACCTATGGAGTGGGAGGGGTCTGTAGTGACCTCACCGTAGTGTTAACCAATAGTAATAATTAGGATAATGAGAAATATGACTATGATATTAATGCTATTAATAATTACAATGACTGATGTAATAGTAAAGTTATAACAATGTTTCTCTTTAATTTTAAAGTTTGAAATATTATGAAATGGAAGAAAAAAAGACAATAGCAGAAATAGTTATAATGAAAATGTATCTGTCAACTCCTTTAATCAATTTATTAAGATTTGTTTGTATTGTTGCTTTTTGTTACCTGCCTCAGTGAAGGGGTGAGGCTTCTCATTGGTCATGTGATCCTTAACCATAGCAACAGCCAATGGAAATCTACTTCCTCCTCGCTGTTGCCGGGTAGATCATGTCTTCCATTAGCCCTGTTCAAGTGACTGTAATTGTTGTTCCCATGAGGGGATTGGGGTGGGCAGGTAGGGTGTGTGTGGTTGTTTGACTGTGTGGAGCATCTGCATGCCTGATCTGATTTCAGCCAATGTGATTATAGACAGAATGTTTCCTTTTCTTTTTTATACAAATATGGGTTTGTTGGTGTGTGTGTGCATGTGTGTTTGTGATGAACTTATGGACGAAGATTAGCAGATAATGATGATGAGGATGGATGAAGAAGAGTGACATTGTTAGTGAGTTAACTCCTACACTAGTAAATCAGTAACAAGTGCTTCCAATGCTGCTGGCAGTCCCAGTCTCGACCAGCAGGGGTCACTGTGTTTGTCCTATAGGCTTTATGACGACGTACATACATGTACCTGCATGCTCTGGAGTGAAGTTCCCCTCTAGCTACAGGTCTAGGATAAGCTTCCCCTCCACCAATCCTACCCTTAACCATTAGTGAAGAAAATGCTCAACTGACCCAAGATCAGCATCTATGGGGCAACTTCACCCTACTCCAGCCTACATATACCTCACTACTAACATACTTTAGTCTTCATCAAAGAGATAAGATAGCTAATACCTTCTTGAACAAGCATACTGTACATGTTTTATGATAGCTAGATTTAGGCATTGCATAGCCCTATAGTGATGCACTGATCATGACTGACAGCTGAGAGCACCAATACCATGTCTATCTTTGACTGACAGCTGAGAGAACCAATAGCATGTCTGCCTGTTTGACTGACAGCTGAGAGAACCAATACCATGTCTGTCTGTTTGACTGACCGCTGAGAGAACCAATAGCATGTCTCTCTGAAGTCAGGAGATATGTGGAGTGGACAGTACTGGACTAGAGTATAGAGGTATCCTTATAGAGTAGGGAGTGTGAATAAGGCATTATTGTGTGACTCTTTGTGTATGTTTGTGTGTGCCTGGGTGTTTGTGCGCGTTTGTGACTGTGTTTATGTGCCGTGCAAGTGTGTATTTGGAAGCTCTCATACTTTCTAAGCACAATTTAAGAGGCGAGATGAGGAAAGGATAGAATCCATCCCATTGGACCTTCTTATAAATCGACAATGAACCAGCCCCTACACTGCCAACACCCTAACCCTAAACAATACACCCTAACCCTAAACCTAGAGGGTGACTATCCACACTCCTCAAGTCATACTATAGGAACTCGTCTCTGTGTGAATAACAGTTAGAGCAGGTAGAAGTGTTGTAGGCTTGACATATACTCAAAGTCAAAGCTAATAACACTTTTATAGGATTGTAATACACTTTCAGTGAAAACTGAATTTTAAATTGTCAATGTGATAATACATATAGTAAAAGGTTGTTGACTAAAAGACTTGCGATAGAAGTACATCCATGTGAAGCTCAACACTGCCCTGATCCTAATCAATGGACTGAACATACTGTTATATGACCCAATTACAGAATACACTTGGAGAGCTGTGTGTATGTTTTCGAGTGTGTGAATGTATGTGTGTGTTTGGTTTCTGTAGTTGCGTGTAATCATTAATCTGGCGTATATCGCATTTAAAAAGTATTACATTTTTACAAACACCGGTTTGCTCGTTTCTTTCCTATTCTCTTTAGAGTTCCTCCCCCTTCCTCACTTTTTAAAGTAGCCGGGTTGGATGATTGTTAATGAAGATACTGAGGATAGGTCGGTTGAGAAGGGTATTTTGATGATGGTGGTGGAGATGATGTTCCTAGATAATAATAGGAACGTTATGTTGATGATGAATTAGGCTCCTCCTAGTCTTGCATTGAGAATCAACCAATCTGGAATGGGAGCCTCTGCCAAAAATGGGGAAATGGGTGGAGCCTAATAGTTGACCAAAAAAGGGAAAAGGGGGGCTTACTGTTTGAGTTGAGTGGGCTAGGGTTGTGTGAATGTACGCTGGTCAATTTCTTCTTTTTTGTTTTTACTCTCATTTTTCCTTCAATCATACGCTTTTATTTTCCTCTTTCATTGTTGACAATTAAGTTTTATTATGTGAAGTGTTAGTTTACCGCCTCAGTGTGCTCAAAAGTTAGAAAACAGTGTGTTAGTTTTTTTAGCAACAGCACTAAACAAATGGGAGAATAATATAAATAATTAACATGAAAAATGAAAGAATAACAGAATACAATCAAATTTACTTGTGTGGCTAATTTGTCTGTGTAATAAAATGAACAACCTAAAAAAATTAATGAGTAGTAATAAAAGATAAGAATAAATCTTGACTGTTTTTTCTTTATTAGTGAACATTTGTGGTATTCAAAATGACATTGGAGTGAGTGTTTATGTTTGAGAACGACGACGACCAATCAGGCCTCTTCTGCTTTACTTATCCATATACTTGTTCTGTTGCCGTGGTTCATCTCGTTGCTAACCGACACAACACACCACACGCTGCATTTCCCCTACAGAGAACAATAGTACTTCCTGGCATAGCAAGAGAAACCCAACTCCTCTCTCTGTATAACCTGTTTATTACTTAGTACTCCCAAATACATTTCTTTGTTTGTGTGAAACCAAGGTCATGTTCATTCGGGTACTCGATGGAAAATATTTTGAAACGTTTTTGTTTTGCAACAGAAAACGAAAATGGCCGTTTCCTATTGTCCATGAAGTCCATTCCCTGTTTCAGTTTGTTTTCTTCCATTTGGTGCCTAATGAACACAACTCCTGGTTACTATAACTGGTCAGGACAATCACCTAAATCCACCATTCACATTACATCCCTGTTATAATACCATGTCAACATTGACACCCATATTATAGTGAGTCCCACAGAAGAGCCTGAGGGCAGCATTAGCCATTTCACTGGATGATATCATCTGATCATTCAAGTTATTGATCAAAGTGTGATATGGAATAGACTGAAATGAACCATGTTTGACAACTGGAGAACCTTGGAAAGGAAGTAAGAGGATACCCATCAAGATTGCTCTGTGGGAAGTCTGGGAACAGCTCATATAGGAGATAAGAACCAACAACATAATTCTGCAGCTAAAATAGACACATTCAATTATCAATATAAATGTTTTAAAATGTATTTATTGTGTGTCTTGACGTGACCTTTATTATTCTGAGCACTGTTATCTCTAATTAACTAACTATGCTGAATTGTTACCCGATTAAATGAATCATGTAACAATTAACTCATTAGGATTTGGGGCACCACGGAAGAGGTTGTTTAAATAGTTACTATCTCCCAAATTAAACTCTAGAAGGTAAATATATCTATTACATCAATAACAGTCAACTTATTAATCATTACCTCATATCATATGATCATTTTGCGCCTCCTCATGGGTCTCCTGGTCGTGGCCAGCTGCGACACAGCCTGGAATCGAACCAGGGTCTGTAGTGATACAGCTAGCATTGCGAGGCAGTGCCTTAGACCGCTGTACCACTCGGGAAGCCCTTCATATCATCATTCTGAACGTTGTATCCTCCTTGCATCTACAAAAACCCCAGCCTTACTTATGATTCATTACTACACAAATTTGTTTAATTATTTATTTACTAGCTAACTAAATAATAACACAGGATAAACATACACACTTAATACATGAGAAAAGGTCCTTAGCGGACTGACAACAATATGGCTGCTTGTTTAAAAAGAGGGAGGAGTAGAGAGAGAGAGAGAGAGAGACAGAGGCACAACACTTTGGTACATTTAGAAACTATTCTCACAGTAATAATTTACTTTGCACACGAACCACCGCCCGTTTGGAGTAAGAAATCATGAATGTATTTACGTGTGAAGGCCTTCTTAGGAAGTGTGTGGCTGGGCCTTTCCGCGGCCCACTTGTAAGGCTCTGATTGTCCACAAGAGGTCACAATGTCCTTCTTAGTTGTCCGTGGCTCCAATGACTTGTCATGTAGTCTTGAACAGAACTACAGAATAGACTCTTCTCCACCTCGTGTTGGTATTCAGGGTTCAAACCACTTTACACGTGGAGCTGCAACCTGGCGATGTTCTGGTCTGGTAGGTGAGTTTATTTTCTTCACCTCATGTTGAGGTTCAAAGTTGTAGCTACCGCTCCACGCTTTTCTGGTCTGAAGGTTGATTTCTCTCCCAAGCCTTTATGCACTCTAGTCAAAATGGGTGTTCCATCATGCTGACAAGCTCTCTGACTTCACTCAGGGCGTGGCTACTTACTGTGCAAAGTATTATCAAAAACATTCCTATCTTAACAAAAAATTAACATTATATGGTCAATGCATCGGATGAAAACCTCATACTTGTAGTGGGCATACTTTCCAAGTTACAGTATTTCCTTCATACCATTTTTAATGACATAAAAAATAGGCAGCAATATGACATTAGTTTTCCAAAGACCTCCTCTGACCATTCCCCACATTCTTATAAAATAAATATTGTTCCAGTATTCACTTTTTAATGTGTTAGAGTTTTGGCGGGAAAACCCTGTGTAG